TCCTTTTGTTCAGTAATAATTGGAGTAATAATCGCAAACTGATATTTTATTGAAATGGTTAATACCTGTAGCAATGTCATGTACTAGTTAAATGGATTGAATAAGGATTTTGGACGTTCTTCTGCTAAAACTCAGCCTAGCCTAGGATAGCCGCTAGGCCTATTATTATATTGCCATTGCCAATGGAAGAAGAGTCCGCACCATGCCAAGGTCTATGCACAGTCAGTATTGTGGTAAGTAAAGAAAAAATAATCTCCTTTCGTCCATAAATGTACGCCTTCCACATATATACGCCTAGCTAGTTACTTATTCTAGCCTAGGTATAATTTTGTAGCTCAGAAGTATCAAGTTTAGTTCAGTCAGTTTGTCAGTCAGTGCAGTGGCAGTGTTTCTGTTGGTAGGCCTATACTGTACTGTTTATAGGCCAGGCCCTAGGCTAAACCCAAGAATTGAGTAAAAAAAAGTGCAACAGGTCAGGTACGGGCGTTGGGACACAAAAGAAAAATCTTTTGCCTACCTAGGCCTAGCCTAGGCTTAGGCCTCTTCCTTAACCTAGCTAGGACCTACAGTACACAGTACCTAGCCTAGCTAAGCCCTAGACTAGGCCTAAGTCCTGCCCAAGGCAGGAAATTTGAAAAAAAAATGCATTTTTTCTTTAAATATCATTTATTTATTGTATTTTGTGTCAACCAAAAATATTGAGACTTGTTTTTTGCACAGTTCAATATACTTCACTCTTTTTCAAAATTAATGCTTGTTAACTGTCAACTGTCTGACCTCAATAATATATAATAATTGGTATTTTAAATTCGACACCCACACAAGTCATGCCCAAAAACATTAATAGCTGGAACTTTTTAATATACTCATATTCTACACATAGGAAGTTTTCAATTATGCTATAATTAAAGTTTGAAATATTTCAAGCATAATTATATTTTTGTTGACCAAAAAATATGGTATAATTAACTGGGGTGTGAATATTTTCCATGGATGTCCATTGACAGTCAAATACTAATAGCATGCGCAAATGTTGGAGAAAAGTTTACTAATAAATAGTAAATAATTATCTATCTTCCAATAGATTGACATTGGCCATGGTTTACTTATAGAAAAGGATCCATGATAGGGAAGAAAAGCAACGCACATGTGGAACATCGGTAGAGAAAGAGCGTTTGGATCCCATCTGAATTACTGCCATAACAGGTAGGTAATTTGTTAAATAAGTTTGTGTTTTACCTTTTAAATGAAGATACTGCAGGCTTATGTACTGTAATAAGGGATTTATATTTCAAAAGATAAATGGTACATCAACATGTAAAGCTTTTTTATTTGGGTTAGACATTGATTTTTTTTTTCTTTAAATTTTAATCTGAATGTTTGCATTGTCACTTTGTAACCAATTAATAAATCAAAAGGGAGCCCGTCTTTATTACCACTTTGTAACCAATTAATAACCATCAAAAGGGAGCCCGTCTTTATTACTGACTTAACCTACACAGTAGCTACATCTTACTGTATATGTTCTCCATAGCACCTGAAGGAAGAAACTTTAATATTAGACAGTTAATGAAGAAAATATTTTGCTACAAGTGGAATACTTATATTAAAATTAAATTTAGATTTTGTACAAGATAACAAATATGAAATAATACTTTTATTGGACCACTACTTTTAAGGTATCTGCATTTTATTCTTTAGAGATTACCATAACTAATTTTAGACATTGCACCGAAATTATTAAAATTCATCCTGCTCTTGTTGGTTGCCCGTTTATGAGTTTTCAATTTAGAAGCCTATAAGGTATTCACATTTTTTGCATTTTTTTTACCCCCAGATTTCACTGATAAGAAGTATCCTGAGGCATCAACCACTCTTTTGAGGCAGTCTCTGTCAAACAGAATAAAGAAAATGAACAAGCCTAAAAATTGGGAATACCATGTATGCATTTTTGTTTTTTAATTTTGTTATTTAACTTTAATTCCAAACTTCGTTCTAGTGATATTAGATTTGTGGCAGTATTTTATTATATTTGATGTTTCAGTGTGTAGGCCGTCTTAAAGTTAGGCTCAGAAAAGATGTTTTTTTTTTTTGTTTTTTTTTATGTTGTAGAACTGATTTTTTTTAAACCCAAAAAGAATATTTGATGAAAAACTTTGAAGCAGTTAATGAGATTCAGATTTTTTAATATTTAAAAACTGGGGGAAAAGAGACATAACCACCCTTTTTCCCCAGTTTTTAAATATTCAAAAATCTGTATCTCTCTCATTAACTGCTTCCAAGTTTTTTTGTCAAATATACTTTGAGGCTTAGAAAGATTAGTTCTACAACATATCAACAGATTTATGTCCTTCAGAGCTTGGCTTTATTAAATAGAAATGCTACTTCCACATCAATAATTATATCTACCCTTGTCATATTTTCTTAAAACATAACATTCGTTTAAATATTTTTGTCTTGCCATATTATTGTATATACATAAAATCAATGTTTTCTTATTTATATGAGTAGCAATTATTTCAGTACTGTATTTTATTTTGTAGCTCTCTGTTTAGTACCTGAGTATATTTTTTCTTTAAAGTTTAAACTTACATAGGGGCCAATCACAATTGTAAACATAGTGTATTAAAAGTGTACTCTTTTTTGTCACCTCAACCCCTTTAAAAAGTGTACATTCATGGAAAATGTTGATTTTGCAATACTGTTCTCTATGGCCTTTTTTTTCAATGGGTACATAGATACATAATTAGGTTTAAATAATCCATATTGGCATGTTATTAAATTTAGAAAACCGATTTCAATCAATATTTTAAGCTTTTGTGAATTCCTTTCATTTAATTTTGTATTTAGTACCAGGCCCTTTCCCCCTTAGCATATTTATACATTTGTTGATAATTATGAATGGTCCATACAGTGCAGGGTTATCTACCTTATGTTTTGGAATTTCTTTTTTGAGTCACATCTATTAAATTCGTGTAAAGTTAAATCTAATACTGTATTGTAATAGTATATAAAAATATATAAAACTTTTTCTTTCATCTACCCTTATCAATATCGCTTACAGTACCTTGATGTTATTTAATATATTTATAATATTTTATATAGGCCTGCAATTTACTGTAAATACAGCTATTATATACCTGTCTCTTATACACATCTAGATGTGTATAAGAGACAGGATTTCATAATGCTAGTAAAATTCAATGCAGTTTATTCTTTTAAGATATTGAATCCAGTTTTTTTTTTCTACTTTTAGATGATGCAATGCAAACATTATTTTAGTTTGGTTGTTTGACCTGTTATATATATATATGTTTAATATGTGTTAAATAAAGATCTTGAGAATGAATACATTTTGTTGGGATTTCTGTACAGTGGGTTCAAACATTTCATGTTTCTTGCCATGAACTACCAAAACACATTTGTACATTACAATCATCTTGTAGGCCTATGATTTTTTATTTTTACACTTTTTTTTTTGATTCGTGAAAACAATTTTTTAGTGATCGAACGATATAAAAAAATTATATCAGCGTTATTTTCAAGAGAAATGCTGTGAATTTCTATGAAAATTAATTTTATCAGCGTTATTTTCTATAGAAATGCTGTTTTTTTATCCTATAGAAAATATAATACATCAGCATTATTTCTATAGAAATTCTGTACATTTCTATAGAGAATAATACAGTTTACCATAGAAAATATATTATATCTGCAATAATTTCTATAGAAATGTTATTTTCCATAGAAATTTATATAGTTTTCTATAGAAAAAATTATATCTGCAATAATTTCTATAGAAATGCTGTTCTTTTCTATAGAACTGAAGTATTGTGAATTTCTATAGAAAATAATAGTTTTCTATAGAAAAGAAATTATAACAGCGTTACTTTCTATAGAAATGCTGTTCTTGTTCTTTTCTATAGAGGTATTGTGAATTTCTATAGAAAATAATAGTTTTCTATAGGAAAGAAATTGTAACAGCGTTACTTTCTATAGATTTGCTGTTATTTTCCATAGAGATTTACAAAGTTTTCTATAGAAAAAATTATATATTTGCAATAATTTCTATAGAAATGCTGTTCTTTTCTATAGAAGTATTGTCAATTTCTACAAATTCGTTTCCTAGTTACGGTTCATTATGCTAATTCTTCGCGCCTGGCTAATCCCACTAGTCTGAACGCCCGGAAAATTTAAGCCGGGCTTAACTCAAGCCTGGCTTATCTCCAAGTGTGAACATAGCCTTAGTTAAATTACAAGTTTCGTACATGTTAAGTGATGATAACTGTACTTTTAAAGACATTGCAGTTATGAATTACAATAGGCCTGTTACACTATAGTTTATTTTACTTTGTATTACCAGTATATGCTTATGAATTTAAAGGTCCTTTGCTTTGTGGCTCTTGCCTTTTGGTTGCAAGTAGGTGTGAGATAATTCTATTAATTTTAAGCAGAGACAATGTCTCAGATTTTAAGATATATATAACTGTCATTTAAAACTATGATTGTGTTATGATTTTTACTTTTATCATTTTAATTATATTTTGCCCCTAGGGCTGCAATTGCCATTAGACCTAACATAACAGCAGCCTACTGTAGCAGACCTACGGCATATAGACTCATCATGGCATACAACAACCTACTGTAGACTTATTAGTCCTTGACGCATCAAAGCAGAAAAAACCAAATAGGCCTACTGCAATGTTAAACCTAAAAACTTGGTGCCTTTAATATGTTATGTTTTTATTTTAATGTTTCAACTGTTTTATCAATTTCATTACTAAAAATTTTTATCTTAATTGTTAATTACTTTGTTATTAGTGTAGGCCTATTATTGTTTCCACCATATTTACTGTATTTGTTGAAAATAATCATATATTTTGGAGATGAAACCTGGGTTACAATTACATGTAATTTCTACATATTGGTAGACTCTAAAATTGATTAAATAAGCCTTTGAAATCACTGAATTTTCAAGATTTTCGGACACTTTCTAGAGATTTTAAGCGACGCCCCAACCACGCCCACTTTTTTCGTCAGAGACATTGCCCTCCCCCCCCCGGGGACCTCATACCACCCCGTCGGGAAAATCCTGGTGCCACCACTGAGATGCATGTTCTCTGTGATATTTACACCATACTATTACTAGGTATAGTAAAATTAAAGAAACCAGCACAAGGCCTAGTAAATTCAATACATAAGTATATCAGTAAATCAATATATAAATCAATTAGGCCTATTATCAATTATTTGTCAAGTGCTGGAAAATTATTGAAACTATTAAACCAACCTGAGGGTTCCAATATGAATTGCATGTCCTGACTCCATAATTCCCGCTACTGGCTTCTTTATTGGGATGATGACTTGAATGTTTCGACGTCTTCATATACTCACAGTCTGCAGTTCTTAATTTTAGGGAAAAAAATAAATAAATATGTGTCCGTCAATGAAAAATGTGAGTGAATGATAAGAATTTAACATTTATTTTTAAAAAAAAACTTATTTCATGGATCAGTAATACTGTAAGACCTTGAATAGATATGCCTCTGTCAATGAAAAATGTGAGTGAATGATAAGAATATAACATTTATAAAAAAAGAACTTATTTCATGGATCGGTAATACTGTAAGATCTTGAGAAGAAGCGGACCCTTAGATGGGCTTCTTACAAAATGGGCTTCTTTTAGAGACTACTTTTGCAAACTAAAGAGAGGCTTCTTTTCAAAACGAATGCTGTAGATGTTGTAAATTCCTACTATACAACATTTTTCGACTACAGAGTTTGAAATTATGTTTAATATTTTTTTTAGTTCTAACTACTTTAGTGACAATAAGATAATATTGATACTCACACGCTATCATAATCGTTATAATAATGAAAGATAATGTCAGTTCAATCTAAGGTAAGTACTATCTCGAAAGGAATACCATACTTTCTTGATTAATAATTTCTTGAGATTGGACTTCTCTTTGAGGTTTTACAATAGGCCTACTATGAGGTTGAAAAGAAATGAACAATAACATACCTACGTATAACACCCGGTGGAACTAAAGTATGTCCAAATCGCATCGCTGCTGATTGAAACACCTGTGTAATACCTGGATGGACGTGCTTCTTATAACCTGGTAAATGTGAAACAAACATAGAGCGCACATTATAGTCCTATTTTTAAGGCTGGGTGGAATTCTTATGAAATAATCATTCATATATTTTATGTATACGAGTAAATTAACTGTCCGATTTGATTTTTAGTTCTTCATTGCTAATGTATCCTACTATGCCTAATAAATATTTATGGACTATTTTTGAAAAAAAAACTGAATACCAAAGGGTAACATGTATCAGTATGTCCAGTATTTCGTGCAGAACCTAAACATTTTACGTGAATGACAAGCTGTATATAGTACCTAAATAGCAATACACATAACGCTGTTTTTCGATAATGGTGGTTGACTATCAAAAGCACAGATTGTTCCAGGTGTATATTGTAGGACGTGAAACTCTAGCGTACTTGCGCGCATCATCTTTAATACTATCTATGAGTAAATTAATTTTAACCTTGAAAATATGTAGCACCAGGTTTTTGCACAGATGTTGCGGTTCATTCATATACAGTAAGAATGAATTTTTTTAAGCAAAAAGCTATAACCAACTTGGTCAAATGCTTTACCGAAGTCTATATTCTGAATACCAATAGGGAAGGGCAACGAAAAGTAGAGGCCCAATTAAACACTAGAGAGCTTTCAATTTGTGTGACAACTCGACGCTAGAACGGAATCACTCATGTGTGACCGTCCTACCTGGCATCCTACATACATACATAGATTTGGCCAAGTGGCGTTTCAGAATCTACTCGACGAGGTGACCTAAACGTTCTTGCATGCGCAGATGACTTTTACTGACGTCATTACGTTCTACGTCCTACTGTTGTCGTGCAATCGAAAGCTCCCTATAAATAGGTAGGTTGTAACTGTATGTGGAGGGGTTAAATAGGGTGGTATCTGTATATTAAAGGAATAAAGTAATAGGACGGTACACACTAGTATATTGAAGGATTACATTCATACGTTGGTACCTGTGCATTGATGTAATAAATGAAAAGTTTGGTACTTACCTGTATATTGAGGTATTTCACGGAGGTTCAAAAAGGCTGGTAACCACTCATACAACACAATGTTCTATTAAACATGATAACTTATATTAGAATAAACTTATTTACTTAAAGATGGTGCCGTTCAATGGCGACACAGCTCTGTTGGCTCTGTTAATTTGTTCTGTGTTTTTGTCTTTTCTTGTGGATGATATTGGTGCAATTATCAGTTATACAAAGATTGAATTGGTAGAGAGACCGTGTCAAATCAACCAATCACTTTACCCGAGTCTTTACTTTCCAATGACTTTTTCAAGCCCGACGATGCCGACAATCAATCGATTTGGGCCCTGAAAAAGCCACAGAAAAGAGGTAGACGCGGCCGTGTCTTAGAGAGGCTTAGGAGGAAATCGTGGAAACCACCATTACCAAGTATCTACTTAGGTAACGCGAGATCTTTAAGAAGAAAATTCTATGAATTAACCTGTTGTCTAAACACCAAACGGGAATTCAGTGACTGTTTTGTTTTTGCATTTTTAGAAACTTAGTTGGATCAAAATGTACCCGACCAGTACATCACACCCCCAGACTTCGGTCTATACAGACAGGATCGCAATCTAAATCTTTTCCCTCTTATTTAAAATTTTGTCAAGATTTGTGTATAGATAAGGTGGTAGTTAAGACTTACCAAAATCAAAACCCCTGTCTGTTAAGACCTTGATACGGAATAGAGATAGGGCTTTTAGATCAAAAGATAAAGAAATGTTCAAAAAAGCAAAATACTAGAAGGGAATAAAGAAACCCAAAATTGAGTATAAAAATAGATTAGATGAACATATATGTTTGGGTGATTCTAAGGAATTGTGAAAGGAGTTAAATAAAATAACTATAAACGAAGTCTAATCTTACTCATTCAAAAGATAATAGGGTCATTCCGTGCCAACTCAACAAATGGGATGACTGGGTACCGTCTCAGATTTTCTCGAAACTCGGATATAATGTGCACCAACATGTCTGACGAACAAACCCAAAATTTGACTTGCCAATTCCAAGTCGTTTAGAAGTTACGCCATTTGAAATTTTAGGGTCATACCCCTTTTTAGCTTTCAATTATGACATATTTGTAAAGTTGCATTTTCAATTAGCCATATCTTAAAATAGAATAAAGATAATTAACTGGAAATTTATATCTAGACTAACCTTTGGCTGTAGAACAGGAATATGACATGACTTTTGGTATACCGGACCCTGTTACGAAAACATTGCTTCATAAAGACCCTAACTTATTTGGTTGCGTAATTTTTCTTCCATTTTTAGACTCCATTAAAATATATATAAAATCACTTTATTGCATAAAAACAATACAGGAAACAAATAAAGAGCCCAGAACAGTGTCCCAAAACTGGGAGCATGCAAGGCTAAATGAGTTGACATACAAAAACATTAAGACACAAAATATACCAATAAATAAAATTATAAAAATAGAGAGAGGCCTATCATCAAATTAAGGGAGACTGCATTCAATTAAATTGTCAGTTCAAAAAGAGTCGGATTAACCCAAGAGAGTTGATCTTTGGCATACTATATAGTAAATGAGGAAACAATTGCAATTTTGGAGATATCGTCTCAAAGTTGTTTAAATAAAATTGAATTATTGCACAATTTGTGGATTTTCTTTAAACGTTTAATATTATCAGGGGAAATGTATCCTCTGGAGCCTACTTCAAAACAGACGAGTTCAACCTCGAAGCCAGCATCTATAATATCAGAAATTAGTGGTGCATATTTGTTACATTTTCTGGAGTGGGCGGCATCGATGCCAGTTTCGAAAGGGAGGGTAAGTTAAAAAATGAGGAGCTTCTTTAGGTTTTTCCAATAAATGCATAAATCTGTATTAAGTTAGTTGGTAAGCATTCAGGGGGAATGGTAGTATAGTGAAAATGCTGGGTGCTGGCTCCGAGGTCGGATAGGACTTCAGGGATACAAGTAGCGTTACAAAAACCTTTCTTAAGAGTCCAAAAATTTAAGGACCCCCCTTGGCAAATTAAAAATAATACTTTTCCAATGATGACATGTGTCTTGGAGGGAAAGCAGTTCAAAGAACCTTCCCTGGACCAGGAGCACCCTAACATGGAGGTCCCAAAAATTTTGTATTTCCTCTCTAAGGTTCTTTTTTTGCGATATTTTTTATCTGATTAAGATTAAGGTTGGGGTCAGAGTTCTGGATGTCTTTCAGTCTAGATTCACAGTCAGTGGCATTTGATTTTTTCCTTGTCCAGTTAATCTCACGCTCAAGACAAGTATTAAGACAGTGGTTAACAGTATCACCTCCTTTAAACCTAGATGAAATATGAGCCACCAAGTGGTATTCCTTATATAGATCAGATACTCGGGGAATGTAGATTCCTTTAGGCATATAAATAAATGATAACGTCCCAGGATGGGGTAGCCCAAACCACTTCTTTAAATATCAGAGAGCGTCGATCTTAACTAGATGAGAAGCACAACTGACTGTAATATGATATTTTAAACTGGGAAGAAAGTATTGCGAGTAAACTCTGATCTTGAACTCGAATCTGATTAAAGGATTGTCTATCTTATTAATGTTTTTCTCGATTAACGTATATAGGTACTGAAGACATCCAGATCTGTGTTATTGAAGGTGATAATAGAGCCTAAAAATTTGTGTGAATCATTCTCAATTGTTGGAATAATATCAGCGCCCAGAGTGTAGTTAATTTTATTTTTGGGTATTTTAATGGAGTCTAAAAATGGAAGAAAAATTACGCAACCAAATAAGTTAGGGTCTTTACGAACCAATATTTTCGTAACGGGGTCCGGTATACCAAAAGCCATGTCATATTCCTGTTCTAAAGCCAAAAGTTAGTCTAGATATAAATTTTTAGTTAATTATCTTTATTCTATTTGAAGATATGGCTAATTGAAAATGCAACTTTACAAATGATGTCATAATTGAGAGCTAAAAAGGGGTATGACCCTAAAATTTCAAATGGCCGTAACTTCTAAACGACTTGGAATTGGCAAGTCAAATTTTGGGTTTGTTCGTCAGACATGTTGGTGCACATTATATCCGAGTTTCAAGAAAATCTGAGATGGTACCCAGCCATGATTTTCTGAAAATTTGTTGAGTTGGCACGGAATGACCCAATAATCTACCCCAGCTATTGAATGATTTTTTCAGTCGTTTTGACACTCCTCTCCCTAATGATGTTGAATATAGTGATTCTTCCGCTGATGACAATCGCTATGAAAATGATTGTCCTTTACTTACTCCTGAAGGGGAAACGTGTAGGGAATTCCGAAGATGCAAGTCAACAAAATCTGCAGGTCCAGATGGTATTAGTCCATCTCTAGTTAAACACTGCTGCCGAGAGATCTCATACATCTTCACACATATTCAATTGTTCCCTCTTACCACAGATCATGATCCACGCTGTTTTAAAGATTTAGTAATAATTCCAATACCGAAACGTTCCCCAATAGTAACTCTTAACGATTACCGACCCATTGCTTTAACCTCTGTTATAATGTAATTTTTTGAACGCATTGTTCTAACGTATTTAAAGTCTGAATGTCCGGTAAATCTGGACCATATCAGTTCAGGTAGACCAAATCCTTTTACAGATGCTGTATCAATTACTCTACATAAGGTCTTAGAGCATCTGGATTGTAATAAAAGATATGCAAGAATTTTATATATTGATTTTAGCTCTGCATTCAACACAATCATACCGCAGAAGTTGTACGCAAAGAAATAGGTTTTGATGTATCTATTTGTTTTTGTATTTTGCTGGGTCTGTAATTTCCTTACTGATCGACCTGAGTTTACCAGAGTGGGTACCCTCACCTCTGATAAAGAATAATTAATACTGGTGTGCCTCAGGGGTGCATCCTTTCACCCTTTCTTTTCACTTTGTTTACATATGATTGTGTAACAATGTTCCACATAGCTAAGTTCACGGATGACACCACCATTGTTGGACTTATCCAACATAATGATGAGTCATATTATCGAAAACAAGTTAAAGACATTGTCGACTGGTGCAGCAGTAACAATCTTTACTTGAGTATATCTAAAACTAAGGAAATGGTTGTAGACTTTCAGAAAGCCATAAATCCAAAATACCTTATATATATTAATGATGTCCCAGTCGACTTTGTTGAGGAATACAAATTCCTTGGTATTTATATATCCAATGATATGAAGTGGCAATGTAACGTGCAGACAATTGTGAAAAGGGCATAGAAAAGAATTTAATTTTTTGCGTTGGCTTAAATCATCTGGAATGCATCCGACTATAATAATGTCATTTTATAGATCAGTAATTTAAAGCATCTTAACATTATCTATAACCATGTAGTACGGGGGCGCTACCGAAAACGATATATGCCCTTAACAGAATCGTCAGGACTGCAACACGCATCATTAGTTTGGCACAAATGCCTCTGGAGACCATTTTCTGTGATCGCCTTCATAAAAAGGCAGAGGCTATTAAGGACGACCAAACCCATCCTGCCTCAAGTCTGTTCCAACTGATGCGCAGCGGTCGACAATTTTGATCATTAAAAGCCAGTAAGGCCAGATTTAGAAATAGCTTCTTCCCTAAAGCAATTAGGGCTCAAATTGTAGGTAAATTGTTACTTGTTGCACTCTGTTTGCGTTTGTTCAGCCTTTTGGCCTGTGTTTTACCAACAGAGCAAAACGAATGTCTATGTTCTCCTGAACAATGACAATAAAATATGATTGAGATTGAGATTATTGAATTGAAACATAATAAATTACAAAAAAAAAAAACAATTAATCATAAAACTTTGATTCTAAAATAACAATACCAGAGCGAGACATAAAATGCGTAATACATTACATATTGATTGAACTTTAACGATACATTGTCCTTTAACGATACATTGTCCTACAAATATAGAAATAAATAAATTAAATTTTAATAGCTTATTTAATTGAATTAAATAAGCAACAGCGGAGGATTTAGAGGGGGCCAGGCTGGCTACGGTTCCCCCTTTTGGAAAGTTCAAAAAAAAAAAAGAAAGAAAGAAATGCAAATTATTGATTGCCCAAAATTCCTCAAGAAAAAAATTTGTGAGGGCATGCCCCCGGACCCCCTAGGGTAGTGTTGTTTTGATAGGTCCCACTTTCTTAACCATCCAGACACAGATTGGAATAAAAATACTTCCGCCGATTTACAGACATTTTACAAAAAAAAATATTTAAATTAATTTTAAGGGTCTTTGCAGTTGTAAAAAATCACTATTTTCAGTTAAAATATGGGATTGAATTTTCAAATTTTAGCTCATGACAGATAGTGCATCTTTGATACAATTTGGAATTTTGCTAATAATAATATGATCCAAAATTCACACGATTTATGAAATTGTGATAATGATACAGATTGTAGTAAATACCATATAACTTGGGTGGCAGATGGAAATATGTGATATAATATAGCTTTTTGGCAAATTAATTTGCAGATAGAAAAGGTATATGAAGCTGATTACTTGGTTGGCATGGAGAAATAAATATGATTACTCACATAGCATTAAATAGCAATAAATATGGCATAACTTACTTGATAAATAGCAATTGTCCATTTCCGCGCTTCATTAAAAATTTTCTCATCATTCCAATTAGGCTCACTTGATTCAAAGAAATTAGCCCAGTGGTTGTGGTAGCGAAACAATAAAATGCCGAAAGTTAGTAAAAATGGGTTCTCATTACCACGTGGATTGCCCAACTCTGACAGAATAAATTAAATATAATTATATATTGCTATAGAAATGTGTATATAAAAGTATAGTATATATGATTTTATTCAATTATTGTAACAATGATATTTAGGTCTACTGTGAATGCATTCCTTTTTAAATGTCTTTTACCTTATCATGAATTGTATATTTTTATATTCTTGATTGTTTTGATTGTATTTTTACCTTGCTGTTGTGTTTAAAATAAAAAATGAATGAATGAATATAGTTATCTACAATTATTTATTTTATTTTATTGTAATTCAACCTGATAAAAACTTACTAAAAAATCGTTCAGCATTTTTTAAAGTATGGTTAGAAGCCTCGACTGGTGGTGGTGGGTTTGCCATTGGGAGTCCTATGTCATTTTCTTGAGGATAGTTACCACGAGAGCTTTTAGTCAGCCTGCCACCTTCAAATTCCCTTAATGCGTCGGCCCATGCCTTTGATGTTCCATAGATTAGTCCTCCGTCTAAAAATGGGGTCACTTCATTTAACTGTTACAAGAATCACAATAATCAACAAAGATTCAAGAAAGATCATCGTGCAAAAAAGCGTTCAAAATAATTATTTATATATTAATACTCTATTGTATTGTATTATAATTCATTAAATAAATATTTTGTATAATGTCAATGCTAATGTCATTATAATCAGGCAATTGCACCCGGAAAAAAGTATTTTTTTAATTATTACCAAATTTAACACTTCATTTACACTTGACTTAGTTTAATCTTCCATTGATATTTAGTTAACTGATTTGGGACAAATGTGTTTGAAAATAACTTGAAAGAATTTTATCTATCTTCATATCAACGATATCATTATTTTTTTTACAAAAATATCAGCATACATAAGAGAGAAATTATTAGGCTGTTACACAGGTAAAGCTACATTGTAGAAATAATCTTTCAAATACAAATGAAGTACAGCCAACTTTAAAACAGAAAAGGAAAGAGCATTTATTGGTAAAAAACAATTATGACCTCATCACTTTCATTTGCACGTAAAGCTCGATTTCCATACAGACGTCACACTATTGGTGACATTCGCAAACAGTTGTCAGCGACTCTCGACACTGATTCCATTGAAATGCTTGTTGATTTTTGTATGGAGGAGGTCTAGGCTAGCGTAGCTAGCCAGCCTACCTGGCTGCCTACCTAGTACTACTACTGTACTACCACCACTGGTTGTCCTACCTAGTTACCTTGTAAACGTTGTTCGAACGCTGTTGCATCATTGAATCCTGGCGACTCCAGATCATCCGTGTCCATAAAGGGCCTACTCTAATTTTTTTTTAATCTGCTGTTGATTTATCATACATTCAACAATATTCTTTAACTGTAGATAACAAATGTTGATCACAATTGGCCATCTTTTTAATTATCGTATTGCCAACGTCCATCTCCTTTCCAAGAAAAGCTAATGGTGTCAACATCCAACACCGCCTGATTGATTGGTGGTCAATAGTTACGATGCGTTGCTGACAAGTCGGGAAGGCTGAACCTGGTTCAACTTTGCTGATTTGAGACGGAGTTACTTGTTACATGTTACTCGGTATTTCTATAGCGCTTATTGCGGTTACAAAGCGCTAACTGCCCTCCACTGTGATCAATATTTCCCTCAACTACATTCCATTCCAACCAAAACCAACAGAGTATGCTTTTTATGCATCAAAGACGAAAGTAAATAAAAGGTAATAGAGGATAAAACAAGATTAAAATGAAGTGCAAAAAGTACCAAACCCAGCCCAACACATAAAAACTCAGATGAACAGATAGGTTTTGAGGCTTGCTTTAAACTGTCTGACAGAGTGAGTCTTTAATGGAAGGAGGCAGGATATTCCATAGTCCAGTTGCTGCAGATGGTGAAGATTCATCGCTATTATGCTTATGAAGGATATTTTCTGACAAGATGTGTTGTGGAGGCAGATCGAGTTGATCGCAAATTTGTACGTTTGTTGATAAATTTTGATGCATTCAATAGGCATACGGTAGAAAGAGATTTGCAGACTATAAGTAGCATTTTGAATTAAATTCTTTGCTGGACTCGTAGCCAATGTAATGGCTACAGAGGCTTCTACTTTCTATAGTGTCCTCAGAACCTGACAATAATTCCATAATACGACAAAACCAGTACTTCAATACTCCATATCTGGACAATAATTATCAAAAAATATACTATGTAGCTTCAAAAGTAATTTTTAATTTATTCAAACAAAATATATTAAAATATATAGCTAAATTTACCTGTTGACGAGGATTATTTGGAGATTTTCCGGTGTTCTCATCATATCGTGTCCTTAAGAAGGGCATGCTAAAATCTTCGGTGACTTTAAATTTATGTCCTTCAGGAATAGGAATGTTGAAATACTCTGGTGGACAACTTGGTCTCTGAGCATCTAAAATTTCCTCTACAACTTGTTGACCTGAAATATATTTTATTTTCAAAGAATTTCATCTTGTTTCATAAGCATAGCAGAAAATTCTCTGTTTTGTTGAACCAATTAATTAGTTGCTTACCTTAGCAATGCCTTAATTCAATCAAAGATTCATTAGTCTGAAGAAAGTGACCAAAGCAGTTGCTAAAACGTTCCTAAGGTAACCAACTTAATTGGTTCAACAAAACAGATAACTTTCTACTATACATTTTATTATTTATTCCAAAGTACTATTATTCTGAATTTTTTATGGAACATCAATTGATTGCAGTTAACATTTAAACTCCCCTCACAACAATATTCACCGTCTCTCAAAGTTGCTCTCATAATCCGCAACTTCTTTATAACTTATAACACAAACAGTGAATTTTCCTTCTGCCTCAAGATAATTCTTTCTGTTTCGGTCACAATCAATTATTGTTTCATTACTATTTATTCTATTTTTTTTTTCATATATTTCATGGTTATAGATTTATTTGTTTGTTTTAATACAATTTTATATAATTTTATTATTATTATTATTATTATTATTATTATTATTATTATTATTATTATTATTATTATTATTGTTTTTATTATTTTTATTATATTATTTTTATTTTTATTATTATTATTATTATTATTATTATTATTATTATTATTATTATTATTATTATTATTATTATTAACATTATTATTGGCTTTTCCCAGCAGATAAAGTTTGTTCTGATTTTTTTTTCTTTTTTCTTGCATATGTTTTTCCTATCTTTTTGCACTGTTTTTTTCTGGCCGTCACTTTGGTCACTTCTCATGCTTACAATTTTTCCGTGCTTTGCCGAAGCATAAGCCATATATATCAAGGATGTGCCTCCTAATATTTAGTGTCAATCTATGATGGGGTGTGCATGTGAGGACCAATTAAAGTGATTTAAGGTCAAACAGTCTACACCAGATATTTCAAAAATCGGTCAGTTGATCTGAATGAAACTTATGGTGGAAAGTTTAATCAAGTTACAAGAAAGAAATGTTCATTCCTGATGATGACATAATTAATGTCAAAATATTGAATCCCGAAACAATGGCGTGCATTTCGATACTTGGAGTATGTATTATACTGTCTTCTCTGAGATTAATCAGTGGACCCTTCGGTTTAAATGCTTATGTGTTAGTGACGATCCAGTAAAGGATGTAAATTTAAGGGTATTTTCAATTTTCGAGGACCCAGACCTAATTATCTCTTTTAAAAATGGGTGTAAATGTAACTTTCTATAATAGTTTGTAAAGGTCCAGTAAAGAAATAACTGAATTTTTGTGATGATCCAGCGTAGGGTGTGAATATGAGGACCATTTAAAGGAAAACGTCCCAGACCAGATATTTCAAACAGGTCAACTGATCCGAACGAAACTTTCGAGAAAGTTTAACCCAAGTTACAAGGAAGATATTATTATGTGTAGGGGACGATCCAGGTTAGGGTGTAAATTTGAGGGTCACTTAAATTGCTTATGTCCCAGTTATAGATGGATAATAATGACACTTTGCAGAATAGTTTTTCACGGAAAAATGAAGAAATGATCCAATTTTGGTGTCGATCCGCAGTAGGGTGTGGATATGAGGACCATTTAAAGATTTTTTGTTGACACCTGGGATTTTCTACATGAATTTGACAGAGTAGTCAACTATAAATCTGTACTGAACATGCAGTGAAAACGGGGTCACTTAGCGAGGCGATATTGCCACTGCACGAGATGGTAATTACTTAAGAAGAGCCTAGCCTAGACAAAGATTAAATTTGTTTACAGTATATAAATTTGCTTTTGCCATTTTGTAAATTTTTTCTTCGCCAAACGGTATTCCAATTCGCCGTTGGCGAATGGCTGGTGTAAGCGTAGTATATACACCCCATTAAGAAATGAACTTTGGCGTAGGTACACTGCATAATGTTGTTGTCTCATATATACATATATATTGATGGCCCGATGTCCATGCATGAGGAGGGGTAAATTTCAACAACAATAACAACAACTCAACATCCCCTAAGCCTGGACAGCTTGGCATAACAGTTGAGTTTTTGGCTCTTCACCTTCAATCTGAAATTTGTAATCTCTTGCTATGGATTTCGCTTCTGTCCTTTTTATTGAGACACCTAATCCACATTGTGTCGACTGTCTCTTATACACATCTTCATCACACTCATCAGCCTCATTCTCATTATCATCACTCTCATCAGCCTCATTCTCATTATCATCACTCTCATTAGCCTCTGTCTCTTATACACATCTAGATGTGTATAAGAGACAGATATATGGTATATAATATATACTTTGTTTACATAGTCATTGCTATAAAAATGAAAAGTGGTAACATACCTCTGACTTCCACAAGGCCTAGCCTAGGACTAGGAAGGAGGCCTGCCCTACGCATGGCCTTTGTAGTAGGTCGAGTGTGAGTGACCGATCTACTCCTCACATGGGGTGTGTTCGGGCGAGAATGGGAAAAATTTACATAGGGTTCTTACTGGTATTGTATCTGCGGGTGGTTAACCGGTTCGAGCAGAACTTGGCTTTTAAAAAAACCAATAACCTCGGATGTAAAACCTAAGGTATTATGCAAATGATAAGTTACAATCAAGTTGCCCTCGTTGCACCACCTACCTGCGTCACCCCATGCTTTAATTACATTCACTTTCACTTTATTCACTTAACTACTACAGTAGAGGGCCTACAAACAAGTGCCGGGAACCAAGGAGACCAAGGCCTGTAATTAGGCTCCCAGACTAATCTAAATTATTTAGATTAAACTTAAGTAAAATAATAATAAAAATAATAATAATAAAAATGAAATAAGGCAAAACAATGCACAGAACAAACAAGCCTAGCCCCAATAACATACTTAGTTATCATTACTATTATTATCAGTATCATTAATATTATTATCATAACATACTTAATTATCATTATTAAAATTATCATTATCATCATCATTATTATTGTGATTATTATTATTATTATTAATTATAATTATTAATTATTATTTACACACAAAAATTATTATTTTAAATGTACTTTGGCGTACGTCCACTGCATAATGTTGTTGTCTCGAAATCAGTAATGAAATTGCCGAAGAAGCTACAACAATAATGCTGTAATAATAAAGCATACATAGCAAACTCCCAATAAATCGCAGATGTGCATTTTGGGCGCAGGCCTATAAACCATGAATAAACTCTCATTCGTTTGACAATTACTACCACTGTTAAACAAATAAGCAATGGTGCCATGATCATGTATGCATATGGCAGACTTATGTAATAAGGTAACAATCTGGATTCTAGGCTAGCCCTCAGTTGAAATAATTTATTTATTTATTTATTTTATTGAGCTTTTCAGTTTTGCTAATAAGAGTATGTTTTGTATAAATATCTAATATAAAAATAACGATAAAAAGAAAAGATCGACTTTTCGACTCCTTCATGGTGTCATTTTCAAGATCAAATAATGAAGTATAGAATATACAGCAACTATAATCAATAGAAAAAAGTTTTGTTTTTGGAAATAACTGTAAAAGAAGCATTGACCATGAACATTGAAACAAACTTTATTTCTGGCGCTTGTTAAAACAATCAAAGGGGACTAAGTGATAAAAAATGCTCCCTGCTGCTATGCGTGCTGCTTTTGCTTAATACAAAAACACTGCAATTTTGCAGCATTGGATTATCAGCAGATATTAGCAGGCGGTCCACATTTAACACTCGTTCAGGCTAGAACAGCAATTGGCAATTTCTGGGTATATCCTGTGTTAGATTCCACAAAAAAGTTGCCCAAACGCACAAATAGAGAATGAAGTTTAGACATTTCCAGTGATAAAATTGACTCCCAATCTTGTTGTGTTAGTCCTGTTGTACCTTGCACATTACTAATATAGACCTAACTCATTAGCCTTAGTTATACTACATGAATCCACGGTTTACCGATTGTACTGGCGGTCCTATCTCATTATAGGTTCACAATACAATATAACACTGAGTATTTGGATTTTGAACGTAATAATACTAAATGTCGCTGTTTTTGTTGAAATACGGAGAGCATAAAAACATATTTTTTCAGATTTTGAAGGTATTAGAATACCTAAATACACCTTCCGCTAATTGAGACTATATATAAAATAATTACATACCAAAAAAAGTCATCATGACAGTTCTATTCAGAAATGATTGATGACCGGTCTCTCCTTTCATAACAGCTTCACTTACTTCTAATGGCGACGGTCTATTGTTTCCTGATGGTTTGTATGAGCCATCTGAGTAGGCAGGAGGAACAAGCCTACGAAGGGGCATATCTGGAATTAAAAGACACTAATGGTAGACATTCTGAAAACAATCGGCAATTGGGCATCAGTCTTCAACTGTTTAGCCAGCTTTTTGTAATGTAATTACACTCTTTATATTTTCATTTTGTATCACTTAAGCCCTCCCTACTACATAACGATTAATTGTGCCTACTTTTTGCTAGTATTTACATGAACCTTGATAATGACCAATGGATAGGTTGAAATAGGTCTGTGCCCATATATCTGTCTGTG